GGCAAAAGAGGTGAAGAAAATAATAACATCAATTTAAATAATCCAATGAACTATATGCCCATATATATATGTACATAGGCCGGCGCCGCAGCTCACTAGGCTAATCCTCCACCTTGCGGCGCCGGCACACCGGGTTCTAGTCCCTGTCGGGGCGCCGGATTCTATCCCGGTTGCCCCTCTTCCAGGCCAGCTCTCTGCTGTGGCCAGGGAGTGCAGTGGAGGATGGCCCAGGTACTTGGGCCCTGCACCCCATGGGAGACCAGGAGAAGCACCTGGCTCCTGCCATTGGATCAGCACGGTGCACCGGCTGCAGCACGCCGGCCGCGGCGGCCATTGGAGGGTGAACCAACAGCAAAGGAAGACCTTTCTCTCTGTCTCTCTCTCTCACTGTCCACTCTGCCTGTCAAATATATATATATATATATGTACATATTTGCCAACTCTTAAAATTAAAAATAACAGTATTCTAAGTGCTTTACATATATTAATGCATTTAATCTTCTTCAGTCCCATTTTACAGATGAGGAAACGACACAGAAATATTAAGTAAATGTACTAAAGTTCATCAGCTGTTAAGTACTAGGGTTAGGATTTGAACCCATGGTTCCTGTTCTTAGCCATGTACCAAGATAAAGCTCAATGATACCTTCAGAGCCGGGTGCTTAACCTGGGATCCACAAGCTCATTCAAAGTCATGGGTGAATATCAAAAAGTCTGTAAATTTCCCAAAACTGTAGGCAAATATTTACATGCATATGTGCATCTTACTTTACCAGATTCTCACACAGCTCTGTATTTCAAAAGAAAGAGGAAAAAAGCCACTGTTTTGGAAGACAGTTCTTTATGATGGGAAAAAAATACAGTTTTGCATGATGTGGAGCTGGGTTAGAATATTGCTTTGCCATTTATTACTGTATGAAAATGGGCAAGTGAACTGCCTTTCCAAAATTCTTCCTCCTTATCTCCACATGGAAAGATTAGCACCCACCTTCCATCACAATGAAAATTAGAGCAAGTATCTGGCATTAATGAATGGCTTTAAATCACAGGCATTTACATTATTATTGTTACTCTAATTGCTGTTTTTTCCTTTGATTTTTTTTAAGATTTATTTTACTTATTTGAAAGTCAGTTACAGAGGTAGAGACTGAGTGAGAGGTCTTCCATCCACAGGTTCACTCCCCAGATGGCTACAACGAACAGAGCTGCACCTATCCGAAGCCAGGAGTCAGGAGCCAGGAGCTTCTTCTGGATCTCCCACACGGGTGCAGGGGCCCAAGGACTTGGACCATGTTCTACTGTTTTCCCAGGCCATAGCAGAGAGCTGGATTGGAAGTGGATTAGCCAGGAATAGAACTAGCACCCACATGGGATGCCAGCGCTTCAGGCCAGGGCATTAACCCGCTGTACCACAGCGCCGGCCCCTTTTCCTTTGATTTTAATATGACTTACTAAAATATTTTAAACACTAGACTTGCCATGAAATATTGTGAGATTTTTAAGGCCAGTATCAGCGGCTAGGCTGACACTGAGACAATCCAACCTATAGGGGGGAAGTGAACAGTCCAAGAATGGTAGGCAGTCAGGAGAAGGGGCTCCTTCCCACTCTGCCCTGACTATGTGATGACTGAATCTTAACTGCTTATTGAACTTAAAGAAATTGACTGGGGCTGGCGCCGGGGCTCACTTGGTTGGTCCTCCGCCTGCGGTGCCAGCATCCCACATGGGCACCAGGTTCCAATCCCGGTTGCCCCTCTTCCAGTCCAGCTCTCTGCTGTGGCCCGGGGCGGGTGGGGGGGCAGTGGAGGATGGCCAAGTGCTTGGGCCCCTGCACCCGCACAAGCACCAGGAAGAAGTACCTGGCTCCTAGCTTCAGATCAGTGCAGCACGCCAGCCGTAGCGGCCATTTGGGGGGGTGAACCAACGGAATGAAAGACCTTTCTCTCTGTCTCTCTCTCTCACTGGCTAACTCTGCCTGTCAAAAAATAAAAATAAAAAAAAAAAGAAAGAAAAGAAAAAGAAATTTCCTGACACTTTCTATCTCCCTGACACAGGGAGGACATGGATATTATTCTAAAACTACTTGAAATTCTGAGGGAGAAGAAACACTGTTTAAATTAAAGACAATAAATCCAGAAAGGTAATGGGAAATCATAGACATCACAATAAATTTAATCTAAACAATTAAATAATAGCGGGTCAAGGTAGAGCCTTAAAAAAATCACTTTGCAGCCGGCGCCGCAGCTCACTAGGCTAATCCTCCGCCTTGCGGCACCGGCACACCGGGTTCTAGTCCTGGTCGGGGCGCCGGATTCTGTCCCGGTTGCCCCTCTTCCAGGCCAGCTCTCTGCTGTGGCCAGGGAGTGCAGTGGAGGATGGCCCAGGTCCTTGGGCCCTGCACCCCATGGGAGACCAGGAGAAGTACCTGGCTCCTGCTATCGGATCAGCGCGGTGCACCGGCTGCAGCGCGTGGGCCGCGGCGGCCATTGGAGGGTGAACCAACGGCAAAGGAAGACCTTTCTCTCTGTCTCTCTCTCTCACTGTCCATTCTGCCTGTCAAAAATAATAAATAAATAAATAAATAAAATTTAAATTAAATTTTAAAAAAAATCACTTTGCTAAGCAGCTAAAATTTTTGAGAACTGGCTCTAAGATACCTATCACATCTGGATTTCAAAAGTATCTAAACACGGTAAGTCCTTACGGCAATTTAATATTACAACTTGTTCTATCTCACAATCGCCAACCATGCTGCCTCTCACTTACAGCAACCTGACACTTGAAATCTCCTCTGGCCCCAGCTGCAGAACTATCACACACCTCTCAATTTTCTTTAGGAAAAAAAAGCCTTCACCATGAAGACTTCACCAGCTCTCTGCCAACAGCATTCTCTCATGTCTCTGGATTCCTCTGCTTCTCGTATACACCCCAAGGCACTGTGCACACTGTCTAGCATGGGGATTGTCCAAGCCACTGTCTATAGCCTTTTCCTATAAAGCTTCCTACTACTAGAACTCTTTGATGGCAAGAACAGTGTTTCATTCATCCTTGCATCCATTTTTAACAATATTGAGTTAAACATAATAGTGGAATAATTGCATGGAAAAAATTAAATGCTCCTGCCATCGGATCAGCGCGGCGGCCATTGGAGGGTGAACCAACGGCAAAGGAAGACCTTTCTCTCTGTCTCTCTCTCTCACTGTCCACTCCTGCCTGTCAAAAAAAAAAAAAGGAAAAAATTAAATGAATATGTTAATTTCTTAGGAAAGTGGTCTTGTCATGATTTCAGCCTGGGATTAGAAATGTAAGCAGGAGTGCAGTTAAGGAATTTGCTTTTGGCTTTCTCTATTGAAGGCATTCACCAGCATTTGTTCTTTAGCCACAACATATATTTTATAGCTCCTTAATTATTTATTTGAAAATCAGAGTTACACAGAGAGAAGGAGAGGCAGAGAGAGAGAGAGGTCTTCCATCCGCTGGTTCACTCCCCAAATGGCCGCAACAGCCCGAGCTGCGCCTATCTGAAGCCAGGAGCCAGAAGCTTCCTCCAGGTGTCCCAAGAGGGTGCAGGGGCTCAAGGACTTGGACCATGTTCTACTGCTTTCCCAGGCCATAGCAGAGAGCTGGATTGGAAGAGGAGCAGCCGGGTCTCAAACTGGCACCCACATGGGATGGCAGTGCTCCAGGCCAGGGCATTAACCCGCTGTACCACAGCGCCGGTCCCGCGCCATCCCTTTTTCTAGCTCATCAATCTCACCCCCATTTTCCATACAAATAATAACAAAAAGGATAAACAAGATAAAAATAAGTAAAAGTCACTAAAAATCTACAACTTTGGTATTTATAAGGTGGACAGTCATATTCATTGCTGATGCAGCTTGCTCAGGGAGCCTGAATAACATGAGGCTCATGAAAACAAGACAATGGGTTTAGTTTCCTTGTAAACTGATTGTCCCCAAGGATCTTTCTCAAGTGATAAGAGGCAACAGTGTCCCTCCTTGCACTGATGCATGTCTTATTAATAAGGAACTTTTTCATCCATGGCAGTTCAACAAGGCTCTCAATAATCTGCCTCTGAATCAGAGGACAGACGATTAATCCCCATCCAACACAGGAGCAGAAAGGCTAAGTTTGGGGACCAGAACCAAGTCACAAGTGTCCAGCCAAGAATACTACATTCCCTGCCCTCTCCCCTCCAGCTCTCTAACCTTGACCAGGTGCTCCTGGCTATCCCACCTCTCATCAAATGGCTCCCCTGTGAAACACTCTCTATTATGCCTGCACAAAAGAGCAAAAATAGCATAAATCATTGCTTTCCTAGACTTAGTCACAGCCTTATTCAGCCCACAGCTGCTCTGGGAGTCGCTTGCACCAGAATCATCTGGGGTGCTTCTTCAAAATGCAGACTCCCAGGCTCACTCCAAAGGTGGGTCTAGAGAATCAGCACTTGAAGTTAGCATTCCGAGTTATTACGATACTGAGGCTTGAGAACTCTTACTCAAAAAGAGAAACATTTCTGTAGGTTTAACAAAGTAAAAAAGGGAAAAAAGATAAATCAATTTAGACATGTGCCAAAAAAATAAAAATCTAACATAGTAGGAGTGTTTACTCATGATAAAACAACCCAAAACTGAGGACAGGTTGAATATCCCTTACCCAAAATGCTTGGAATTCAAAGTTTCAGATTTCAGATTTTCTCAGATTATGACACTTTTACTTACAGATAATGGGATATCTTGGGGTCAGAACCCAAGTCTAACCATGAAAATAATTTGTGCTTCATGTACACTTTTTATACATAGCCTGAAGGTAATTTTACAATATTTTTCACTGTTCTATGCATGAAACAAAAGTTTCATGGGTGGTGTTACACTCAAAAAGTTTTAGATTTGGAAACATTTCAGATTTCAGAGAGTGTTTTAAAGATTTATTTATTTATTTATTTATTTTAAAGGCAGGCAACAAAGAAAGAGGGTCAAAGAGAAAGAGATCTTCGCATCTCTGGTTCACTCCCCAAATGGCCACAACAGCCAGGGCTGAGCCAGGCCAAACCCAGGAGCCAGGAACTCCATCTTGGTCTCCCTCATGGATAGCAGAGGCCCAAGTACTTGGACCATCTTCCATGGCCTTTCCAGGTGCATTAGCAGGGAGCTTTATCAAAAGCAGAGCAGTGGGCACTTGAACTGGTGCTCCTCCATTGAACGCTAGTGTCACAAGCAGCAAATTAACCGACTGTGCCACAATATCAGCCCCAGATTTCAGAGTTTCTGATGAGGGGCACTCAGTACTCAACACTCTCAAGCAACTACGTGTTGCAGGAAACAGAATTATAGTCAAGAATGCTACAGGAGAAAGCTCCAAACCAGAACCAGCTGGGCTGCTTGAGCTACTTTCCCTCTTAATGAGGGCTTGTCCATGAACTTCCACTGAATCTGCTCATTATAGCCCAACTCATTATAGCCCATTATAGTTCAGCTTGGGGGGCTGGGCAATGCATGAATGACTGGATAGGACAGAAATTCACTTTGAATCATTCATTTCAGTTCTTCTAGAGTGCTGTGAGGGAATTATAGGAGGAAAAGAAGTGCCACCTTATGGAAGACGCTACATGGTCCTAATAAAAGGGCTGGAAGTTTGTGCAGGGGCTTTGATCAACGACAACTGGGTGTTGACGGCTGCTCACTGTGACCTGTAAGTACTTCCGAGATCCTCATTCTCAATGCTGAGAGGTGAAAATGATTATCAAGTCCAAAGCCAAACTTAAGTGGGGATGGAGAAGCAAGCAGGCAAGCATATTATAACTATACTATACTATTTACTTCTGAAAGCAAAAGCTAGATGCAATAGAACAAGATTGAAATGTGTGACCACTTCATTATATTATTTTAATTTTTTCACTATAGACACTAATATTATTGAAATTTTTAAACACAGGAAAGATAAAAAATAATAATAATCTACTCAAGCCCATATAGTTACTGTTAGTATTTTGGTATATTTTGATCCAGAATTTTTTTATGAGTATATTTTACGAAGTAGATAAAATTGAATGTCCTTTATAATTACAGATGGCTACCTATATGTCATTGGTGTCATTCCATGTCAATGTATATTAGGTTGATCCATTAGAAATTACTGCTATTTGACTGTTTAATTTTTAACAATAGCAGTTTCCTGTGATCAAACTTATGGTTTTATTAGTCATTATTCGAAAGACAGAAAAATGATTCTGCTATTTTCTTAGTCAATCCCTTTTGTTGCTAAGCAATATCTTTTATCTCCTTGATGATGTTAGTTTCAATTGCATAAACAAAATAGGGGGCCTGGGGTAGTGATGTAGTGGGTTAAGCTGCCACCTGCAGTGCCAGCATCCCATAAGGGCATCGGTTCAAGTCCTGGCTGCTCCACTTTCAATCTAGCTCCCTGCTTATGTGCCTGGGAAAGCAGCAGAAGATTTGAGGAGTGAACCGTGGATGGAAGATCTCTCTCTCCCTCTGTCTCTCACTCCCCTTCGCTCTCTCTCTCTCTCTCTCTCTCTCTAACCCTACCTTTAAAATAAATTTTTTTAAAAAGGGGGCCTAAAATTAACTCTCACAAAAAAAAAAGATTCAAATAGATTTACATATACTGTTGTATAAAACATGAGTTTGTCAAGTAAGAATTTCACTGGAAATAAACTGAACCACTTAATCAATAGGACTGCTTGGTGTAAAGTCTGCACAACAAATCAGGCAAATTTTTTTGCCTCCTGGGAATAGCCATCATTACATTCAACAGCTGGATTCAGGACTAGTCCTAGTTTGCACTCTCTCTCTCTCTCTCTCTGTGTGTGTGTGTGTGAGTGTGTGTGTGCATGAACACGCTCACACATGCAGAAGCACAGGCACTGATACAGACTCAACTTTAAATTTTCACTATAAAGCCAGGTCATTGCAACTTGTAAAAGCATGACTCTGGTCAACTGCTCTTATCTTTGAAGGCTTCAGTGAAACACTCTATTTGCCAGAAGCATAGAAAAGCAAACCCCTGCTCTAGTTCTTGGGTTTAGCCTCTTAATCCAGTTGCCGATGGAGTCCACTAGGAGAAGGCTTTATTCTACCAATCCAAAGCAGGTGGAGAAACCCGCAGCTCCTCCTTCAGCAGCCCCTGGCAAAGCTGAGTTCCTCCTTGCCCTGGCAGCCCCAGGAAATGGCCACACCCACCTTCACCCTGGGAGACCCTGCTCCAAGTCAGCACCCAGCAGATCTCTCCAGGCCTTTATAACCCAGTGTGCTTGCCTCTACCAAACGGTCTGGGACTCCCTTCCCATTGCTTCCTCCTTGAAAAGATGGAGTGAGGCTGAAGCCATGTACCATAACACACACACACACCCCACACCCACCTTTATATTTTTAGTAAAAGGTCCTAAAACGCCAAAAGAAAACTGCTCCATAAGCTCCGTGTGTCTTGCTGTGTTTGTGTATAAACAGGAAGCCATGTGCAAACACTGATCAGACTTGACTAAGCGCAGCCCATGGCCTAGCTGCAACCATTCTCTCACATTAAGTTCTATGTTGTTGCTTTTTCCAGAAAGGGAGAGCCTCAAGTTATTCTTGGGGCCCACACCGCATCCCATAAAGAGAAGCTTGAGCAAGTATTTTCCATTCAAAGGGCAATTTCCTATCCCTGCTATGACCCGCAGACATTTGAAGGGGATCTTCAACTCCTTCAGGTAAAGACGTTTCTTTTTTGACAACTATTTTGAAAGAGTAAACATTCTTACCCACTGAGGCTCCCAAGGTTGTCTTTTGCCTGCAGTGTGGAGGACAGAGCCTAGCTAGGACGCAGCACTGCAGCCACAGCTGTTCCTTCCTACCTGGTCATCAGTGACAGAGACACATAAGCAGAGGACCTGTGAAGCACTGTGGTCAGAAAAGCTTCCTCCCAGGCTAGGGGGAAAAAAAAAAAGAGGCAAAGGCCTTCCAGGCAAGAAAAGGAGCATGAGAGGTGCCATTTAGAGGAAGAGAGGAGAAAAAGGAATTATTGGGATTTGAGAAAGAGGCATGAGCAGAACAAAGCCAAGCCTTACAAACCTGGACAAGAAGGCTGAACTTGATGCACAAGGAGACGGGGAAGGGCTTTGAGCAGGGAAGTGACATGATCAGACCGGCTGTTGGAGTCCCCGTTCTGGTTGCTGTACAGATAGTGGAATAAAGGGAGGTGAGATTGCAAGGCAGGGTGTGCACAGGAGGTTCCCACTAATCCAAAGGGGCCGATGTGAGCTCACCAGTAGGAGTTAAAAGGAGGCCGAGGGGCTCTGCACAGCCTCATTGGCAGGAGGCTGAGCTCTGTCTCCGGCAAAACCTCCACACTCCTTGCCCTCCAGTTCTTACAGCTGAGCCTCCCACACTACGGTGTCTTGAGGTTGCCAGGCCAGGCCTCTCCCTCAAGGCATCACTCCTCCCCCAGGCTCTATTCTAAACAGCTTCCTAGGCAGAAAAGGGCAACTCCTTCCCTCGCCCCCAGAGGGCACTCCAGGGCCTACTTCCCTATTGAGTATTTCTCTAGAATTTGACACTGATGTGCTTTTGATTGTGTTTGCTTCTCTGCGTCTCTCCCTAGAATGTAAGCACATGGTTAAGTATTTTCGTCTATTTATTTCTATGTACTCTGACATCTGGAAGAGTGATTTTGAATAAGGGATGGGATTAAGCCACCCAGTGACAACGTGAATTAAGAGAAGGGAATGGGTTCTGGACTCAGGTTTCAAGCAAGTGGTAGAGCCATGGGTGGGTCTGCTTGAAGGCCTTAAATTCTTGCCTTTACAAAGCGGTAGGGTAAGTGAGGAAGGTGAGCCATCTCTGCCTTTGGAGTAGGGTCAGAGAGCTCCCTCCCACCTCTGGCACTGTGGCTAGTAGCATGATGCTGCTGAGAAAACCATAAAAGGGACATCAGGATTTTTTAATTAACTCTCCAGGGCTAAAACCTGATTTGGAGTCATTGTGGCCCTGGGTGCTTAGACACAGAGAGTTTGGTTGGACTGATCCTTCCAAACAGAGGCCTCCCTGACTCCACTTCTGATGCATTCATGACGTCTCCAAGTCCCCTGATCCTCTTAGCCCATGGAGCCAGCCAACAGCGGTGCAGGCCGTGAGGAGGTAGTACAGGGAGAGAAGTACACAAGTGCACATAGGTGTGTGCAGTCCCGTTCTACGCAAAGACTTTCACCTATGGCCATGTCACTTTGTCAATGTTCAGAGAGGGGATAGCAGCACAAGCAACTCAGAGGGGCCACCTAAAACAGGGACAGTCTAGTGGCAGCAAGTGGGGCTTGAAAACAGTACAGTGGCAGGAATGTGATAGTGCCACTGCTGCCGAGCTCCTGTGCTTTCCCAGATCCACCGTGAAGGAACTTCCTCCACAGGTGAGGCAGGAACAAATGAAATAACCAGAACCCATCTCTCCACCCTCTACTTAACCTGCCCTCAACACTCAACACTGCCTACTCTCCTTGCCATGAACTTTTGGCAAGAGAGAGGTCAAGGTGATAAGCCTGAGCCAGTAAGAGGGCAACAAAGAGAAGGGCAGAGCCTGGGTGAGCACCTGAAGGCACGTGAGACCCTCAAGCTGGTTGGTCCCTGCTCGGAGAAGGGAAGCCACATTGCCTCCCAAGTGGAAAATGAGGACACTGACCCCTCTCTTCCTTGCCCCACTGCACCTGGAGCCCTGAGTTGCTTCCGCTGCTCTCTGCACCAGTCAGTTCACAAATCTAAGACCACCTGAATAAAGATGATCTGGGTCTCCTCTACAGTTTCAAGCACAGAACTGTCAGTCACCACTGTTACCACTGACAGTCAACTGAAGTGAAGTTTACCTGCACAGACCTAGTAAAAGACTGTAGCTTTTAAAAATCAATTACCAATTTCTGAGACAGGTTGGAATGTGTCTTGGGCCATGTCCTTCACAAGGGACCATGCTAAATAAGTAAGATATGTATTCCAACCCATGCTAGTTGTGTTAGTGTGGCCCTCGTCTAAAACTCTGTTTCCTGAACTTTTTCTAGCTGAAAGGTAAAGCAACAATCACCAAAGCTGTAGGAATACTTCCGCTACCCAGAACAGGAGAAGATGTCAAGCCTCACACCAAGTGTCACGTGGCAGGATGGGGCAGCACCAAAAAAGACTCGTGCAAGACTTCCAATACCTTGAGAGAAGTCAATGTCACTGTGATAGACAGAAGAGTATGCAATGATGCAAAGCACTATAATCTCAAGCCAGTTATTGAAAACAGCATGATCTGTGCTGGTGGCAGAAAAGGTGAAGATGATTCATGTCAAGTGAGTAAAGTTTTTGATGTTTTGGGGATGTGGGAATTAAGGTCAAAAGAGAGTGCCTAGGGAGAACAGCAGGCACTGCAGTTAATGCCCACGGCTGCCAGGACCACTGCTGGTCTGCTCCTTTGTCCCGTGTGAAACCTGCTCAGAGAACATTCCCTCCCTACTAGTGATCATTCTCAGTGTCTCACTGAGTGGCCGCTCTTGGCAGCTCTCTCAATAATGATCATGACAGCTGGTGCTTATCAGGTGCCAGGGACTGTACCAAGTTCTACAGTACCCTGTTGGACAACTTAATACTCAAATGATGTGATCAGATAGGCACTAATAGTATTATTTACAGATGAGAGAACTGAGGTGTAAAAAATTATTTAATTTCCCCCAGTGAAATAACCTGGTGGCAATGCAGAGGACTCGGATTTGGACCAAGACCATCTTTCTCCCAACCTCTGTATTGTCCTTCTCCATGTCGTCTTGATGTGCCAAGGCTTGACCAGGGTTTGAATCTCTTTAGAACTCAGGATCCGTAAGGGGCTTACAAGTCAGCGAGCATGTCACGGGAGCTGATGAATCCAACAAAGGAAAATCCCTAAAACCTGTCTGAAACACCACAAGTGCTTCTTGGTCTCAGTTAGCTGAGCTGGTAGTTGAGATCCCATCTCAAGCCTTCTAGTGGCTCTGTGTTAAGTGATGCTGAGGGCAGACAATTAATAAAAGAGTTTTAAATTAGCCTTTAAATAAGGAAACAGAGAAGAGAGAACATGTGAGTGAAATGTGGATAAGCAAATGGATGAATGAATGAGTGAATGATTATCTTTGGAAAGCACCCATTGAAAACACACGACTTTCTGTTGCAGGGGGACTCTGGAAGCCCTCTCATCTGCAACAACATTTTCAGGGGTGTCACTTCATTTGGAAAATGTGGTAACTCCCAGAAGCCTGGAATCTATATTCTCCTTACAAACAAATATCTCAGCTGGATTAAGAAAACCATTGCAGGAGCCATCTGACCTGCCTTCTTCAAAGCAGAGATCCGAGGGACCATCTGGAGATGTCGAGAAAGGGGGTTTTAGCTTGATGCATCCCGAGAAGCACCTCTACAATGTCCTAATTCTGTGTGCAAATGACAGCTTGTCTGAAACAATTCATCAGTAAAAAAAGCAGCTTCCTGCTTTCACGCGCGCATGACCAGTTCAGACTGCATCGTCACGCTTACTCTCTAGCCACAGCAAGAGATGCCCTTAAGAACAGGTTTCTCAGTTCAGTGCCTCTTGGCTTTACGTGGAATTTCAGAACTGTCACTTTCATGTTTGCTGTTAAAAGAAAGTCAAGGGGCCTGCACTGTGGCACAGCGCGTTAAGCTGCAGCTTACGACATAGGTATTCCTTATGGGAGCACAGGTTCAAGTCCCAGCCGCTCCACCTCTGATCCAGCTTCCTGCTAACATGCCTGTGAAGGCAGCAGAGATAACGTAAGTGCTTGCATTCTTGGCTCTTGCCTTTGGCCTGGTCCAGTTCTGGCTGTTTCAGCCATTAGGTAGTAAATCAGCAGATGGAAGATCTCACTCTGTCTCTCCCTCTCTTCCTTTCAAATAAATAAATTGCTTAACTTTTTCAAAAAACCATCAATCCCAAAAAAAGAATATGCTCTGTTCTTGGGACTGAGAGCCCAACATTCTATTCAGTATGGGAGGAAGGGTGAGATAAAGGGGGTTCACTTCTGACTGTACACTCCTGTATATTTTATATTTTACAAACCGCTTAAAGACTATGAGAAACACTGAGTGTGTGTTTTAGATATTTGGGGAATTTGAGGCTAGGGATGGTTCAGGACAACTGCATCACTGAATTACAACTAGACTGAAGTTTCATACACCTGTACGCTTCAGCTCTGTTTCCTTTTGCTTTAGCTAGCCAATCTATCCATGCAAGCACTAAACTTGGTTCTGTTATTCTTAATAAATTGTAACATCTATCGTATATGATTATCTTTTTGTTGTACTATTTTTCCTCCCAAAAAGCTGAGCTATAATAAACTCATTCCCTAATGATTCTGACTGATTTGTCCAATTTAATTCATCGCTATGTACCAGGCTTTGTTCCCAGCTCTGTGGGTACAGAGGAACCTACCAAAGTGCTCAAAGTCTAGCAGAAGAAAAAGAAAAAGAAAAAAAAAAGATACCCACTTCGTACTCAGAAGAACATGCAGCAGAACAAGGGTAACATGGCAACTGGAGAGCTGGAGAAAAGATAGATAATATCTCACACTCCCTGGGGTCATCGCAGGTCACCTCAGTTCCTCCTGAGATCTGCCCTCTCTTTGGACAGAGCTCGCAAGTTCCGGATTCCTGGCAGGAATTTCCACAGACCTCCCAGCAGCCTGGTGGAAAGATCTCTGGTTTACAAGGTAGAAATCAGATCCATTCCCAAGAAGTTTAAGACCTTGAGAGAATTTCTCTGTGCCTCCATTTTCACATCAGTAAACTAGTAACAGTAACATATAAGGATCTAAAATGAAGCAGCCCTAGAATTTAAAGTTAAGAATTGTCCAAAAGTCTAGGGGAAAAAGGATTTTGAATATTTTCATTACAAAGAAATGATGTTTAGTGTGTGTGTGTATACATAATATATATAAAATATATAAATATCTTTACTCTAAACATTATACACTGGATTGATGTATAAAAACAGCACATTGTAATCCATAAATTTATTTAATTTTTATGTATCAAAATAATTTAACCAAAAAAGGGCAGGTATTTGGCACAGCAGTTAAGAAGCCACTTGGGGGGGCCGGCGCTGTGGCGCAGCAGGTTAAAGCCCTGGCCTGAAGCGCCAGCATCCCATATGGGCACTGGTTCTGGCTTCAGTTCGGCGCAGCTCCAGCCATTGCGGCCATCTGGGGAGTGAACCAGCGGATGGAAGACCTCTCTCTGTCTCTACCTCTCTCTGTAACTCTGTCTTTCAAATAAATAAAATAAATCTTTAAAAAAAAAAAAGCCACTCAGTTTGAATCTCAGCTGAGTTTCCAATTGCAGCTTTTGGCTAACGCACACTCTGGAAGGCAGCAGGAGACCCGAGTACTGGGATGCATGCCACTCATATGTGAGATCAGGATTCAGTTCCTGGGTCCTGGCTTCAGCCTGGTCAGCCTGGTGATTGCTGGTATTTGAAAAGTGAATCTGAGGCCAGCACTGTGGCATAGTGGGTAAAGCCGCCACCTGCAGTGCTGGCATCCCATTTGGGCACTGGTTCAAGTCCTGGCTGCTCCACTTCCAATCCACCTGTCTGCTACGGCCTGGGAAAGCAGCAGAAGATGGCCCAAGTCCCTGGGCCTCTGCACCCACATAGGAGACTGGGAAGAAGCTTCAGGCTTCTGGCTTCAGATGAGCCCAGCTCTGGCCATTGCAGTCATTTGGGGAGTGAACTAGTAGATGGAAGACCTCTCTCTCTCTCTCTCTCTCTCTCTCTCTCTTTCAAATAAATAAAATTCTCTTTAACACTTCTCATCCTCTAGGAAGCCTATCATCAACAAACAGACAATAGCAAGTGCTGGGGAGGATGTGGAAAAACTGGAACCCCCACGCACTGCTGAAGGAATGAACCATGGTGCTGCCACTGTGGGAGACAGCTTGGCAGTTCCTCAAAGTATTAAACATAGATTTACTCTTTGACAGCGAGAGGCACTGGTGGTTCAGGGGTAGAATTCTCGCCTGCCATGCTAAGTGAAAGAAGCTGGACACAGGCCATATATTGTATGACACTGTTTATATGGAACGTCCGGAGTGGAAAAACCCATAGACAGAAAGATTAGTGGTTGCTAGGGGCTAGACAGAGGGGGAAATGGAGAGGGACAGCTAAGGAAGAAATGGATTTCTCTATGGGGTGGTAAAAATCAAGAATCAGATAGTGGATTGAGTGCACAACCTTATGAATATACTAAAAACCACTGATCCAAGGCTTTTAATTCATGGTAGGTAAATTATATCTCATTTTAAAAAAAGTTATTTGAGACTCCCAAAACCAGCAGCAGCAACTTTGCCTGGGTGCAAGCCCCTACCAAAACACCCCATGCTCATGGGGATTTATGAAAATGCCGCGGGGAGATTTGAGAAGCAGCAGAATGTGTGGCCTCTCCGATGGGTATCCTCCAGACCAGGGACTCAACAAAGAGAGCAGTTCTTCCATCCAACCCTCTCGAAGGAAGGAGCCCTACAGCAGACACTGACCAGTTTCTGGAAACGCAGGAGTAATGACAATCAGCTGTCAGTGTCCATTCAGGACATTGCCAGGATGACACTGGTGCTGGAGGCCTCCTGTCAGCTCCTTTGAGAGATCAATACATTGCGAAGGGAATAGGACTTCAGATGCAGGGTAGGAGTGAAGGGAGCTATTGTATATTCCTGAGAAACCACGAAAACTTCTGTCTGGAAGCAGATGAAAAATATCATTAATTCTACCATACAGATCCAATGTAATAAACCTGCTGTCTACTGTAGACAGCAGTACCCTCCAAGTCTAGGTCCCTGAGTGGGGGCTCCAATGAAGAACCTACTGCGGCTTCAAGTTTCAGGGGCCCATCTCACTACCCAAAGACTTCCACCACCTCCAGCCACTCTGCAGCCCTCTGCACATTAAGGCCTCAATATTTCCATTCCACGATATTTTTACTGATAAGCATACAAACCGGCTTTTTCTTCCCATATTAAAATGAAAGATTCCTTCTCCAAGGATTTACTCCATTTCTCTGCTTTTCTTTATGTCAAAACTCTTTTTTTATTTAGTAAATATAAATTTCCAAAGTACAGTTATGGATTACAATGGCTTACCCCCCCATAACTTCCCTCCCATTCGCACCCCTCCCATCTCCCGCTCTCTCTCCCATTCCATTCACATCAAGATTCATTTTCAATTCTCTTTATATACAGAAGATCGTTTTAGTATATATTAAGTAAAGATTTCAACAGTTTGCACCCACACAGAAACACAAAGTGTAAAATACTGTTTCAGTACTAGTTATAGCATTACTTCACATTGGACAACACATTAAGGACAGATCCCACATGAGAAATAAGTACACAGTGACTCCTGTTGTTGACTTAACAGTTTGACACTCTTGTTTATGGCGTCAGTAATCTCCCTAGGCTCTAGTCATGAGTTGCCAAGGCTATGGAAGCCTTTTGAGTTCGCCGACTTCGATCTTATTCCGACAGGGTCATAGTCAATGTGGAGGTTCTCTCCTCCCTTCAGAGAAAGGTACCTCCTTCTTTGATGGCCCTGTTCTTTCCACTGGGATCTCACTTACAGAAATCTTTCATTTAGGTCTTTTTTTTGCCAGAGTGTCTTGGCTTTCCATGCCTAAAATACTCTCATGGGCTCTTCAGCCATATCCGAATGCCTTAAGAGCTGATTCTGAGGCCAGAGTGCTGTTTAGGACATCCGCCATTCTATGAGTCTGCTGTGTATCCCGCTTCCCATGATGGATCGTTCTCTCCCTTTTTCATTCTATCAGTTAGTATTAGCAGACACTAGTCTTCTTTGTGTGATCCCTTTGACTCTTAGACCTATCAGTGTGATCAATTGTGAACTGAAATTGATCGCTTGGACTAGTGAGATGGCATTGGTACATGCCACCTTGATGGGATTGTATTGGAATCCCCTGGCACGTTTCTAATTCCACCATTTGGGGCAAGTCCGATTGAGTATGTCCCAAATTGTCTCCTCCCGCTCTTATTCCCATTCTTATATTTAACAGGGATCACTTTTCAGTTAAAATTTAAACACCTAAGAATAATTGTGTGTTAATTACAGAGTTCAACCAATAGTATTAAGTAGAACAAAAAAATACTAAAATGGATAAAGTATGACATTGTACATCAACAGTCAGGACAAGAGCTGATCAAGTCACTGTTTCTCATAGTGTCCATTTCACTTCAACAAGTTTCCCCTTTGGTGCTCAGTTAGTTGTCACCGATCAGGGAGAACATTTGATATTTGTCCCTTTGGGACGGGCTTAATTCACTCAGCATAATGTTTTCCAGATTCCTCCATCTTGTTGCAAATGACAAGATTTCATTGTTTTTGACTGCTGTATAGTATTCGATAGAGTACATGTCCCATCATTTCTTTATCCAGTCTACCGTTGGTGGACATTTATGTTGATTCCAGGTCTTAGCTATTGTGAATTGAGCTGCAATCAACATTAAGGTGCAGACAGCTTTTTTGTTTGGCAATTTAATTTCCTTTGGGCCAATTCCAAGGAGTGGGATGGCTGGGTTGTATGGTAGGGTTATATTCAGGTTTCTGAGGAGTCTCCAGACTGACTTCCATAGTGGCTTGACCAGTTTGCATTCCCACCGACAGTGGGTTAGTGTCCCTTTTTCCCCACATCCTCTCCAGCATCTGTTGTTGGTAGATTTCTGAACGTGAGCCATTCTAACCAGGGTGAGGTGAAACCTCATTGTGGTTTTGATTTGCATTTCCCTGATTGCTAGTGATCTTGAACATTTTTTCATGTGTCTGTTGGCCATTTGGATTTCCTCTTTTGAAAATTGTCTATTGAGGTCCTTGACCCATCTCTTAAGTGGGTTATTTGTTTTGATGTTGTGGAGTTTCTTGATTTCTTTGTAGATTCTGGTTATCAACCCTTTATCTGTTGCATAGTTTGCAAATATATTTTCCCATTCTGTCAGTTGCCTCTTCACTTTCCTGACTGTTTCTTTTGCAGTACAGAAACTTCTCAATTTGATGCAATCCCAAATGTTAATTTTTGCTTTACTGCCTGTGCTTCTGGGGCCTTTTCCAAGAAGTCTTTGCCGGTACCTATATCTTGCAGGGTTTCTCCAATGCTCTCTAATAATTTGATGGTGTCGGGTCGTAGATTTAAGTCTTTAATCCATGTTGAGTGAATTTTTGTGTAAGGTGAAAGGTAGGGGTCTTGCTTCATGATTCTGCACGTGGAAATCCAATTTTCCCAGCACCATTTATTGAATAGACTGTCCTTACTCCAGGGATTGGTTTTGGATCCTTGATCAAATATGAGTTGGCTGTAGATGTTCGGATTGATTTCTGCTGTTTCAATTCTGTTCCATTGGTCTATCCACCTGTTTCTGTACCAGTACCATGCTGTTTTGATAGCAATTGCCCTGTAGTATGTCCTGAAATCTGGTATTGTGATGCCTCCGGCTTTGTTTTTGTTGTACAAGATTGCTTTAGCTATTCGAGGTCTCTTGTGCCTCCATATGAATTTCAGCATCATTTTTTCCAGATCTGAGAAGAATGTCTTCAGTATCCTGATTGGAATTGCATTGAATCTATAAATTGCTTTTGGGAGAATGGACATTTTGATGATATTGATTCTTCCAATCCATGAGCATGGAAGATTTTTCCATTTTTTGGTATCCTCTTCTATTTCTTTCTTTAATGTTTTGTAATTTTCATTGTAGAGATCTCTAACGCCCTTGGTTAAGTTTATTCCAAGGTATTTGATTGTTTTTGTAGCTATTGTGAATGGGATTGATCTTAGCAGTTCTTCCTTACAAAGGCTGT